CGGGAACTCCACAAAGAAATATAAGAGCGTTTGGATAACTATTTTAGTGATCTAAACACTCTTATATTTCTTTACAGAGGGAGTACATACAAAAATGGCGCCAAGGAATTTTTTAGTAAAAGCACGCACAACTCAATCAAGTTAGAAGAATCAATGAGCATATCCTAATAAAGTTCAGATACGGTGTTGTGAATATGATACTACGTTGAAGTCAACAAATATTTAGCATACTATATTTAGCAGGTAAAATTAATAAGATATAATCAGCACAAACAACAGTTTGATGACAATAATAAAGGACCTTTGGATGCTTTCGGTATTCACCGTCAATGTCATGATAGTTCGATGATAAAAAATATATAATTGATTTCATCATAAAGAAATATATGTACCGACCAGGTAGATCTCTCTGTAGAAGCTTCCATTCATTTTGGATTGTTTTCGTCCAATCTTTGCTCATCTGCTCACATATTGGTGGCAGGAAATTAATTCACAGTTAAACCTAATAGAGATAGAGTTCAAAAAAGGACATAGCATACCTTCCCTGGTGAGGTCTTTGCATAGTGGTGGTCAGAGTAATCTTGAACAACGTCAAATTGGTTAAATAACTTGTGATCCTCATTTTCAGATCCATCTGCTGCCTTTATCATCGATGAGATGTTACTTGAACATTCAGGTTCATGTTTTTGCAGTGACAGCACATTACCAGACCCACTTGAACAGGGATCCAAAAGAATGTTACTTGCAAGGACATTTACAGTGGAGTGTGGAGCAGCACTAGCACCTGAATCCAGAAGATTATGACCTAAGTATGAATGTTATCACCACATATGTACATACTTTTAGAGTTTAGGACAGATACAGAGGGGGAGAAACTCCAACAGGCACTAGCAACTACGGCATTTTAATTTGGAAGAAGAACAAGCCTGTACAGGATGGGATCCCATCTAATGCAGCCAAGATCACTCATCTTGTTGGGGAGCAAAGCAACAATGCCTATGTGGTTCCTCCATCACATGGATTGCCCATCATCAAGGATAAAAGGCACACGCCAAAAATTACCAGTAGCTGGTTATCAGCTTTCTTAATGGTGCTATCCCTGCCAATTGCAAAGTAAAGTATTTCTTTGCTGGGAGCCCTAACATCAAGGTTTCATTAAAATTGGTCTGAAATCTTCATGAGTTCAACGACAGGTTACTGCCATTTCATTAATGCCTGCTCCCATTCCTAATGAAAGCCAGCTAATTGTCATGTTAAATTCAGTGAAAGCAGGATGCCATTTTAAAGGAATGGTACAATGTAAAATCTACATAACATTAAGCTAATAGTTGTAATTCCCTCAAGCACGAACACCATACATGTAGTATATCCCTGACATCCAGCCCTTGTTTACACAGAGACTAAACTAATTGCTTCCTTAAACCGGTGATACAGACTCCTATATTTCTAAGAGGCTGCATTTTTTTTCAGATAATGGAAGTACAACCACTGAAGTAGCTGCATTGCGCATCTTCTTTTGCATGTAGTAAGAATGGCATAAGTATTTTATAGTAAAGAGTCACAACTCAGATACCCATTTGAGGGCTGTAATCAGTACTGCAAGTGAAAAATAAATTGTAATAGATATTTCTCAGATACTATCAGATGCCATTTAAAGTAAAAATAAAAAACCAATCAGGAGGAACAAACAGAACATTTCAAAAATTAACATTGGTCATCCGAAGCTACCTTGCCAAAGAGGGTCTATGGACTTGCCTGCATAAATAGAACCATTCATTAGAACATTCAGGGAAATAACAAGTTCTATAAAATGTTTTTCCAACAAATAATTGGTTTGATATAACAAACTCCAAAACATCGTTGATCATCACAGACATGCATTCATATGCCAGTTTATATCCAACTAAAATACAGTAGCATTCAGATTCTATCGATGATATCGTACTTCAGTAGCTCCAACACAATCAAGACAAATAAGTGTATAAAACATCCTGACATAACTATCTGGACCATTCAACAGCCTCTAATTATTCTGTTATTCCAACAAATTACGACTGTCCCATTGGTATGCAGTTTCATCAAGAACACACACATGCATCATCATTATCCAAAAAAGGAAACATGGTTATTGTTTTAAAGAGGGCAAGGAGCATCCAGTGATCATGTGATGCACCCCCGACTGACAAAACAACCAAGTTAACTATTGAAGGTACATCATCACCTTTCTTGTTGGAATTCTTCTTCTTTTTCTTGCCAACTCCAAAGAGTTGAAGCAGCTTCTTGAGAACCATCTTCTAATCTAATCCGCCCACAGAGATGGCACCTGAAAAGCATGAAACGCCATTGGATTTGGAACCAACAGCTAGAAAGAAAGATGACGCAATTAGGCGGATAACAGAGGTAAATCAAGGCATGCGCATGAACGACATATGCATGAAAGTGAAGAACATGATAATCTTGGACAGGAGGAACTTTTTTCCCCACTTGGTTGATTTCTTGTTCCCCTTTTCCCTTTAATTAAGAAGAACTCATGTTCGTCGGCCCCAGTGAGTTGTTTATGTAGTAGTACAATACAAAACCCAGGCACTCCAATCAGTGCAGGAGTGACGCCATGGTCGGGCCAATGGACCCACGACACGACCAAACCCAGCAACAGACAAAACGAGACAAAGCACGCAAGAACATCACACCGCAGGAGAGAGGGGGGAAAAGCATTATGGGGGCAAAGAGTATCATCGCATCATGATAATAACTCCACAAGGCCAGAAAGAAAACGAAAGATTGCAGGATCTCGGGGGCATCCCTCCCTCCTCCCCAGATCGCACAATCAATCAAAAGAGAAGAGTAGAGAACCATCGCGAGGTACTGAAGAAAGAAGCGAGCAAACCAGCACAATCAAGGAGGAGAAGAGAGCAGAGCAGGACGGAATCGGGGGCAGCAGAGGAGGAGCAGACCGGAACCCTCGCCTGCTCCGTCGGTCCTGGCGCCACCGGTCGCCGGGGAAGTGGAGGGAAGCGCCGAAGGGGGTTCAGTCAGTAGTAGGGGTGCACTCGGCAGTAGTAGGCGAGAAAAAGGGCGAGGAGGCGAGGTGAGGTGCAGGAATGGGAGGAGACGGTCGGTCAGGGTGGGGGTGGGGGTGGTGGCTGCGTGCGCGAGCCCGAGCCCGGGTTTGCAGGGAGGGGAACGCGGGGTCACACCACACGGATGGGAGGGAGCTTGCGTGCCGGTGAGGCAAAGCTCGACCCCAACCGGCGCTTTTGCCTGCCCCGCCTCCACCCCGCAACACCGACCCACCCCAAGCACGGTGCACCGCGTCCCCCTCTGCAACCGCAAGCACCGTGCCATCAACTCTTTCCGTTCGATCCAGCCGGGGTTACCATACCCCATACGCATATTTGGCATCGTGGCCGTGATTAGGGGCGCGCGTCCGGTGATTCCCCTGCTCGTTTTGGGATGCCTTTTCCTTCCCTGGAAAGGAAGCGACAATGGCGAAATCCGGCATGTGATCCGTAGCCCTGGGTGCTCCTACGGCCATAGGACCTGGTACCTGCGCTGTGCGTGCCCTGTGCTATGCTAGGTTAAAAGGCCGGGAATCCCGCGTGAATACAGGAGTGGAAAGTGCCAACCTGCCCGCGATTCCTTTTTCCATGTATATATGCGGGCTCGCCAAGATAAGCACGAGATAAGGAGAAGACGGGACATGGGAACGGGAAATGGAAACATTTTCTCTTTTTCGGGAAAAGAGAGGCACGCATGGACGCATCCAGCCGAACACCACACGCACGCAGTTTGGCTTTCGTCTGACGGAAAGATACGGCCAAGCCCGGGGCATGAACCAGTCGTCGGCTTGGGGCTTCGCTTGTCGCGCAGCCGGACCCCAGGTTGATGGGCATAGCACTGATCCTGCACTCTCTTCAGTCCAGCGATCGTTTTCAGCACATATCCTGCACTCTTTGAGAGTGAAAGAGAAAAGAGTTTTGAGAGGAAAGAAGTGTCTATGGCCCTGTTTGTTTCATAAGTCCTATGACTTTTTTAAGTCCCAACTTATAAGTCATAAGTCCCTACCTGTTTGTTTACAGGGACTTATAAGTCCCGAGACTTATAAGTCCATGTTGCACCGCTACAACGAGGCTCAGGAGAGGGTCTGTCCGGCGATTGGAGGCACCGTTGCAACGAACCGAGGCAGGGCAGCGAACCGAGGCAGGGCGGCGACGGGGCAAGAGGCGGGGCGGCGACGGGACGAGAGGCGGGGCGGCGACGGGG